GAGATATGACCTTGTGGGTTAGATTCGTGTGTTCTATTCTATGATGTGAGAGGGGTTCTCAACCTTGTGTGGTGATATTGGTGAGCTTGAGGTACAACTCTTTCGTTTGAATCAATTTCATGATTTGAGTATGTCTGGACCGTTGCTTAGTGGTGCGCGTATTATGCTAGTTGTGGCTTAGGCCTCTATTGATGTGCCATGTCACCAGAGTGGTGTGTTGGGTTAGAGGAGATCGTTGAGATCATTAATGAATACGATCAGATTCGATTTTAGCATGTTGGAAGGTTAATATCGAGGTTCGGCTCGAAAATTTGCTATGGTAATTGCTAGAGGAGAAATAGCTTCATGAATGGTCGATCTGAGAAATGGTCATGGTTTATTGCGTGTTTCATTTATCGTTGGCAATATATGAAAGTGTTGGAATGAGACTTTAGCTGATAAGAGATTTTCTATCGGTAGTTGGTTGTTGTGGGCAGCTGCTGTGAATGGAAGTTATCGCTACGAGTGTTCGAGTTATGTGGTTTATCATGGGATTGCTCCCGAGGTTGCAGACATGGGTTACTACAGCTAGTTCGCGTCTATTCTGAGTATAGGTGTGAGGTTTTGATCGTATTAATGGTTTCAGAAGTGAAAAATGTGATTCTATAGTTTATGGGCCAGACTGGATTGTGTAATTTCAGTTGCAATGTGTTATGGGACCTATATAAGATAGGGTGACGTGGGATCACCCCCGTGTATATGCATGGCAAGGTTATTCAGCGATTGGTTGGCTTTTGGAACAACTCCGGGTACGTTCGAGGACGAACGTGTGTTTAAGTGGGGGAGGATGTAACGACCCGACAGGTCGTTTTGAGCTTTTGCACTTTGACCGCCAGTTCTCGAGCATGACTTGCCCCGTGTAATGTATTATGACTGATGTAGACCGTTGGTTTTGGTTTTCAGGGAAATCGAAATGAATTTGAAAGAACAGTCTCAGTTGAAAGCTTTGAATTTGAAAGGTTTGACCAAGAGTTGACTTATCTGTATATGAGCTCGGATCGGAATTTTTATGGTTCGGTTAGCTTCGGAAGGTGATTTATGACTTAGGAGAGTGATCGGAATTCGTTTTGGAGATACGGTGTAGAATTAGGCTTGAATTGGCGAAGTTGGTATTTTGGCGAATTCTGGTTGGTAGGTGAGATTATGATCCAGGAGTCGGAATAGAATTCTGAGAGTTTCAGTAGCTTCGTTATGTCATTTGGGATGTGTGTGCAAAATTTCAGGTCATTCGGACGTCGTTTGGTCGGGTTTTTGATCGAAAGTGTATTTCGGAAGTTTTTAGAAAACTTAGGCTTGAATTCAATGAGTTTTGGGTAATTCGATGTTGTTTGAGGTATTTTGATGATTGGAACAAGTTTGAATGATGTTATGGGTTATGTTGGTAGCTTTGATTGAGGTCCCGGGTGAGTTTCAGATGGTCAATCGGACCAATTTCTATGTTGAGGAGTTGCAGAAATTGCAGCAGCAGTTGCAGTCAATTTTTGGCCTTCGCGATTGCGTGAGGTCCCTCGCGATCGCGTAGAAGGAATATGGGCTGCCCTGAGCTTGTGCTACGCATTCGCGTACAGCATTTCGCGTTCGCGTATAAGTAATTTGAGGTCCAGTGTTTTGCTCTTCGCGTTCGCATCTTTGGGGTCGCGTTCGCGTAGCTCTGGGATTTAAAGCATCGCGTTCGCAGCAGCATTATCGCGTTCGCATAGTGTTAATTTGAGAGGTGGAAATTTATTGCTTCGCGATCGCGAGACTTGGGTCGCGATCGCGATGAAGTAATGGCCAGTGCTGGGCAGAATGTTATAATTTCATTTCATCCGCAATTTTGGGTCATTTTTCCTCCATGGTTGATCATTTTGAGAGCTTCTTGGTGGAGATTATAGAGGGATTCAAAGAGGAACGACTTGAGGTAAGAATTTTGGTCTTGAAACTTGATTATATTGTGTAATCCACCTAGAAATTCATGGGACTTAAGCTAAAATGGAAGAAACTAGGGCTTGGGATTTTGAAATTTGATTTAGGGATTTGAAGGACCATTTGAGGTCGGATTTGAGAACTTTTGGTATGTATGAACTCGTGAGGAGATAAGGAACCTGTTGATGTGAAAATTTCTGAGTTTCGAGGAGTGGGCCCGGGGCTCGGGTTTTGGTAATTTCGGGATTTTGTGCCCGTTATTGATTGTTTTCGCTTGGGCTTTGTTCCCTTAGCATATTGTGATGTATTCGTTCTGATTTTGGATAGATTCGACGCGCGTGGAGGCCGATTCGAGGGGCAAAGGCATTGCGAGCTAGGGATTTCGCCGGTTCGAGGTGAGTAATGATTGTAAATGATATCCAGAGGGTTTGAAACGCCGGATTGAACATCGTAGTACTTTATTGAGGCGAGACACGCGCTGGATGATGAGCGTGGGGTCTTTTACTGTTGGGGATCGTGACTTGGTCCGTCCCGATTGATGATTTTACCGCATATTTGACTGAAACTTATTTGTTATCATCATAATTTGGGCTGATTGCCATATTTGGGCTTCGTGCCAATTATTTGAACCCCTTCGGGGATGATTGTTGATATTTCCTCACTGTTTTGATTTTATACTTGAACTCAGTCATGTATTTTCCACTGTTTTCAAAACTCAGCCAAGTTTATTTTGCTATAACACTTGAAATGATATTTCCAATACTATTTTTGGGCTGAGCATCGTGTTTTACCGTTGCCCGAGGGGCCTATGTGATTTTTGACTGAGTAAGGCCGAGGGCCTGTGTTGTGAGGATACTTTTGGATCGGGCTGCACGCCGCAGCAGTGTTATACTGATATTGATATGAGGCCGAGGGCCTAGACTTGATGCCACGAGATGGCTTGATATTGCGCTTGGACCGTAAGGGGCCCCTCCGGGAGTCTGCACACCCCCAGTGAGCGCCATCGACGATAAATGGATCGGGCTGCACGCCGCAGCGATATATGGATCGGGCTGCACGCCGCAGCGGTACTGGTACTGTTCTATGTGTTTACTTTATTTCATTTGTGTGCCATTATCTGTTGTCTGTGCTACTTCATGCAATACCTACCTGATTGCCTGGCATTATCTGAAAACTGAGTGTTGTGCCCGAGGGGCGAATTTCTGTGCTTATTTACACTATTGTTTTGCATTGAATTGCGTAACCGCTGAAAAAGTTATTTCCAAAAGAGGTTTAAACTGAGCCAAGATGTTTTTCTAAGGATTTCACAGCTTCACTGTTTTCTAAAAAGGGTTTTACACTGCTCTATACAGCGTGGCGGTTTGTTTTACGTGATTTCTTACTGCTCAGTTATTATTTACCTTTGTTACTCACTGAGTTGGAGTACTCACTTTACTCCCTGCACCTCGTGTGCAGATGCAGGTATTTGTTCACCCGGTAGCGGGTTTTGAGCTGATCGGAGGCTAAGTTTATCGGAGTTTAGCGAGGTGACTGCTAGCGTTCGCAGCACCGCATTTCTTCCTTATGTATATCAGTCCTATTTTGTATATTTCAGGCCTTGTAGTAGTATTTATACTCTAATAGGTGCTCGTAACTTGTGATACCCCGGTTTGGGCTGTGTTTGGGTTGTATTCCGCGCTTAATAAAGAAATCTCTGTTTAGACTGTGGTTATTTAATTATGTTAAAACAGTGAATCAATATTTAGCTATTCTGAAAAGGCGAAATAGGTTGGTTGGCTGGCCTTGTCTTCACGAGAGGCGCCATGACGATCGGATCGGGGTTTGGGTCGTGACATAAAATCAATTAGAGGGTAAAGACATTACCTTTTTGAAGTTCAATCCCCTTGAATTCGAGTTCTAGGGTTCCTTCTCTCAACAATGATGGCCCAATTGAATATCTAATGATATGGAGGGTTTACCCATGTTAATAAGATGTTGGAAAATTAAAATTAACTTAGAATCACCATTAGAACTTACCTTGGGTGGTGCAGGGACCCTTAAGGAGTTAGGTTTTTGAGAGCTTTTCTTTCTAGAGCAAGTTTTTATGTTTTGGGACTGTGGGGGACGAAATAGGGCTAAAAAGACGACTTTCCAAGTCGGCCACCACGTCCCAGTAGGCCTGACCGTAGTCCTGACCGCGGCAAATAGCTGGAGCACTGCCTCACGACCGCGGTCGCGGTCAAACGCGACCGAACGCGGTGGTTACGCACTATTCTGTAAAACGGGCATAACTTTTTGCACAAAGCTCTGTTTGGTCTCCACAATATATTGTTGGAAAGCTATTTCAAATTCCTACAACTTTCATATTTTTTTCCCAAATTCTTTACACATTTTCTCTAAATTCTGCTGGAACACAGACCTTCTGCAAACTTAGTCGATTTTGTCAAATCTATGCACCCCACTTTCCATCTTGATTTTGAAATAACTATTTTCACCCATAATCATCCCGATGAGACTTCACATGTCCAAAATATAACCTTACTACTCCTTTAACTCATTCATACCTAAGCCGAATTTACGGGGTGTTTCAACAAGTATGGTCTTCCCCGAGTAACTTATCGCAAAGTAACTTCCAACTGTCATTTAAACTCAACGGCATCATTTCATGAAGAGTAATATCAGAGTTAACATACTCAGTTATGTCTTTAAGCCCAAGGGCAGACCTAGACCATAAAATACAGATTCCAAGGAACCTAGTAACTTTTGTATAGACCCTGTATTTATATTAAGAAATTCACTGAATATTTGTAAAATTCAAAAGAAAAGATGGATCAGTAGTGTAAAAATAAGTAACTATGAGTCTTAAAAGGCAAGACACGTGTTACGCAGAGCACATGTGTCTTTATGACAATGAAAGAAGCAAAGTTACCAATTTTACTTTACTATATTATAGAAGAGCCAGTGGTTTCGACCTGCCTGCTTAATTGGCATTAAAATCTAAATTCAGGGCATTATAGTCATTTTAGTATTAGCTGCATTTCCACTGAGGCGCATGTTAGGTTATCGGTGCATATGTGGAGTTTATTCATACGGCCACCGCATAGTTGTGTTTGTACAGATCTTTTTCCATTCAATAGGCTCTTCACGTTCCAGTCTTCCATTTCTATACCCTGTATATGCAATTGAACTGGGCATGGCTTTGTTGTTTGTGTACTTGCAGATCATCCATCCATCACCCTCCAATTCAAACCTTGGTACTATCTTTGTCAAATCTATTGTAATCTTCGAGTAATTTATATTCTGCAAAATTTGGTGTCAAATTGTTCTTTCCATCCAACAACGTCTCAGAGAGGTCGAGATGTTTTGGAGATTTAAGGGGGTTGCAGTGAGCAATTTTTACGAGGATTTTGCTCTCCTTCTTGGTCCTCCATGCTGATTGACCCCCATAGATTTTTTTTTTACTAAAGGGTTGTTGCAGTATTTTCTCAATCGTAGCTCAACTGATTCTGCACATGCATGTACTCACTAATTATTTTCTGTCAATTTTCTAGCAGGTAATGATATTAAGAACTCAATGAGAATAGAGAAAGGCTCAGTGAACAAAATTTCACAAGGTCAATAATGCATTTATGTTCTGAAAGAGTTCATGATGTTTTCCACAAGGTTAGATGGATTTAGTTATTTTCGGTTTTATCGTTTCCACTATTATCAATGTTAGTCATCTTTATATAAGCTGATGCTATAACTGAGAATCTAAAGAGCCTTTTTAGCATTGTCACTAATTTGTCCAATGAATAATTCCTTTTACCCATTTGTATTGCTTTCAATTCTCTTATATTACTACTGTTATTTACTTATAAAAGATTAAGTTCGTATTTTGACCTGCTTAGATTATTCTGTTCTTCACTTTTCTGTTGGACTTTATATTTTTATAGTTGAATGAAGGGGTCATTATGTTGTTAATGGATTTTCATTACATTGCTTATATCGCTATTACGATATGTTTTTCTTTTGAAGTTGTTAGATCAATTTTATTACATGATTATAGGAAGCTGGTGCAAATGTTTTCTTATGCACAATTGCAGAATGGCTTGAGCTAAAAGAGGTAGCAAAACCAAGAGTTATGTCCCAAAATGAAGGCTCAAGAAAGGCCTCATTTGGCGCCGGTGTCTCCGCTCATGTGTGTTATTATAACATACTTCATGAGCTTATGCTTGCTTTTTTGTGTGTGTGAAGTTAATTAGTGTAATTAGTGTGTCATTCTTTGTGTGCATTTGTGTGAAACAGGAGATGATATTTTGTGAAAGTTTGTATGTACACACAGTACACACACAAAAGATAATTTAAAACACTTTTTAACCTTTTAAGCGTAGTCCTCTGCAAGGAAAATACATTATACATAGTCGAAATTCTGAAAGTAAAACATCACTTACAACCATTTTTTACTGAATTTTTAGGAAAATTAACTGATATTAGAGTGATGTCTGTACTCCTGGCATTACTCTTAAAAGGAGAGATAGATATCTAAAGTGTTGTGCATTAGATCCATGAAAGACATTCATATATAGATAGCATAAGTGTGACGACAGTAAGGTTATTTTCTTTGTGATGTCTATGTATCAAGCTAAGAGGTCATAAATATCTAAGGTGTTGTGCATTAATTCCATGGAAGATTTGTATAAACCAGTAGCATCTCTTCTTCTCCTCGGGGAAAAAAATGGTTTTCTGCTTTAATTAATTTCTTGCTCCTTTGTCAGTCTGCTCATTTATCTCTTTTTTTGTTTGTTTCTTTTGCAGATAAGGAAACTTGATGAATCTCTCTTTCACAATCAGTTCTCTCAAGCGTATATTAGGGTCTATTCTCTGTCAGTGGTAGAAATCCTGGATCCAGTGTTGTGTTTATGCATTAATTTAACTCAGTTATCTACTGTATAGGTGGAGGAGTACGATAAGAGACGTAGCAAAAGTTATTCAGGAAGCAGGAGTCCTCGACGGAGCTATAGCAGCCAGAGCAGAAGGTTTAGTTTCTGATTGTCTTTTCCATCACCTTCAGAAAATTTAGCATGTTGACTAACAGTCATTCGTCAGTGTATCTCCTAGGGGTAAATACTCTCATCGCTCTGCGTCTCTCTCGCACTCCAGGTTTTTTTCCCATGCTCGCTCTGTTTCTAGGTACTTTCTTTGTTTCACATCAAGGTTTTTATATTTCTCTTATGCTCTGCTAAATTAATCATGTTTCAGGATAGTTAAAGAAATAGTTAAAAATAGTTTTCATAGTCCTAATCGCAGGATATGATCATGTCCTATTTGAATTCTTTTTGTAAGTCTATTGCTAGGTGCGGTGTGCTTAATAATGTTTTTTCTTAGGATCCTCCTTTTCATTCGTTTGAGCAGCATTCCCTTTTTGTGGTATTTTTATGCTTTGTTTAATGGAGATTTTGTATGAGGAATCAGCAGTTTGATTGTACAGTGGAAAATCTATGTTGAATTGGGAGTCTCTTTGTTGTTTAGATATTCAGCTCCTACGTCGTGGTTTTGACTGGATAAAGTAATGACACCATTGTTGGAGAAAGGGCTACTCACAATTTTTTATTTTTTGATACTTATCTGGAGAATGAATATCATCATTCTTGGAGCTTTTATTTGCTTTTTCTTCTTTCTGCCCCATGCAAGACTTTAGGTCACATTTTTGTTTCGTTACGTTTTGGTGGCTCTGTCTGATCACGATCAAGCACTTCTCATTGTTTGAAGTTCCATTTTCTGGAGATATGTAGAGTCAAAAAGACTCGCTGTGTAGTATCACCAAAATGTTTAGAATTAGACATCTAAAATGTCTCTCTTACTCACTGTGTAGTATCACCAAAATGTGTATAGAATTCGACATCTAAAATGTTTCTCTTTATCTTTCAAGAGCTACAGAAAGATAACACAATCACTGAAATTAGTAGGAATAGCAATGACCATATAATTATATAAAATTAGAGGGATATGAATTGGATACTTCGTGGAATAGATGGATGAGGGATTGAGAATTTGGTGCTATTAGAATTACCTAGGAGAGAACAATATACTTTTTAGATTGGTCTGGTATGTTGGCAGTTCTGCAGCAGGAAGGAATCAGAATCATATTATAATCAAGGCTTAAAGTTAAAAGACGTTCCAAGTCTTAAACTTGAATGTTGTTCCAAATCTTAAACTTGAAAGTTGTTCTCAAACATCATTTAAATCATAGATTAGCCTAGCCAGAAAGCTTACTATTACTACTTAGATGGTTAATTAGTTATTATTTTCTAATATTGTCAAAATATTTTGACGATAATGTGACTGGTTAATCTTATTTTTCACAGATAATGTATGAGGAGGCAAGTTAAGTTTTGAATGATGCTTTTAGAAGTATAAGAACTGTTGCGTCATTTTGTGCAAAAGAGAAGGTCATAGAAATGTGCCACACGAAAGAGTGAAGGTCCATTGAATGCAAGAATAAAGAAATTTTTATTAGCAGGTAAGCTTTGGTCTGTCATTTGCTTCTGTGCGTTTTATATACAACCAATGTTTACGCGGGAGCCTATCTTATTTAGAGTGGCAAAATAAATTTTTGGGACATTTTCATGTATCTTTGATACCTCTTGTTACATATTTCCTTTTTTTTTTTTAGGCAGGATTTAGTTAAAGCTTCATAAGAGGCTAATTTGTAGTATTTGTAGCCTGACAATTTTTTTACTTCTGAGGATGGCATCTATATCCATGACCAGTGAAGCTCATTGGTGTCAAGTACGATCAAGAGGGGCTATGTGTCAAATATTTGCTATTCCAGACCAGAAATCAAGCAAAAAAGATTCAAGTCATGATTTTGGTATGACACTGGACACCCTGAAGGGTAGTATCCAAGAAGGCCAGATGCTTAAACTTTTAGAGACCTTTGCTTGACCATTTCCTGTGGCAGGGTGAATTGATAGTGAATTGCCGATTTGCTTTCGTTTCTTCTCTATCTTCTTTCTCCTGAAAAAATAGTTACAGAGAGAATTTGTACTATTGGGTGAATTATTGGTTGAGTATGAATGGCTGCAATTCATGAATTCTGGAGCATCTAGAGTTCTTAGTTGAGACATAAGTACGGCTTCCCTGTGTTGTAAAATGTAAAATTGCACGCCACAGCATTTGGAGTACCTTATTTTTCTCTTTTCCCCTAACATTGAAGCGTGAAGGCAGCTCGTAATGTTTTGTGGAGCTTACTATGAAGCATAGTTGATATTAGATTGTTCTTATCTTTTCGGACAATTTCTATATTATTATCTTAAAATTTTACTCAAAATCTAATTCTACTATCTAATAAAGGGGAGTTAGCACACAGCTGGACGACATGTTTGCTTGGGGTTGGAAGGATAATTTGGTCATTTCAGATAAAATGGAACATTATGGTAGGCTAAAAAGAAATATTACTGTAGCTGCTATATAAATTTTTGAGTACCTTGACTAAATTGACCTTTTTGCTTATGTCATAGTCTGTCACTGCACACTTCTCACATCAGCTTTGAATTTATCAATTCATCCTCAAACGATTAGAGATTTAGAGGCTGAAAGAAATGAGTAACGGGACATGTATCTTTAGTCACAGAAAATTCCATAATAGCTACAATTGATTTTCTTATTTTTTAAATATTTTGATAATACAATATCTAGTGTTAAAAATAGTAAATACTAAATAATATGTGAAGTCTTTTAAGCTAAATATAAATATGCTAGGCTACAATTTGAGAGTGACACGTCAAAAGTTGAGTAGTGTAAATGGTCTACATATTTATTTTTTAAGGAAGGGGATATAATTAACCTAATTAAAACTATTTGCATGTGAAATAAGTAGAAAAAGAGGACTCTTGTTCTTCGGTTTTACGTCAAATCAGACTCTATTTTACTCAGGGAAATAGTTTACTGAAATAAGGATTTTAATGTTAATTTTATATGATTATAGAGATATATATATACTAAAGTTGGATGATTTTAGCTTCAATTATTGATTATGAAATTTTATACCACTACTACTACTACTACTACTTTATAGGGGGGAAATTCTTAAAATTGAATGATGGGAAGAAATTTATGTTTAAAAAGAGAACTTAGAGACCTTAAAATGATGGGAACAAATGTAGTTATACAATTTAAGTTAATACGGATCAAATTAAAGTGTATTATTTATGTGAAATTTATGAGATTAAAGTACCAATTATTAGTCCCAGAAAAAATTTCGCATATTTCTAATACTCCCTGATCATGAGATTTCTACAATGATACTCATGGATTACCAATTTCACATACTTGCTGAAGTCTATAAATCCTTACATTTCACACACTTTTTTTCTCAACCCTGCCAAAACACCCTTTTCTTTAAGTTATTTTTTAGGGAAGGGAATATAAGCTAATTTAAACTATTTACATGTGAAATAAGCAGAAGAAGAGAACTCTTGTTTTTCGATTTTACGTCAAATTAGACTCTATTTTACTCAGGAAAATCGTTTGCTCAAATAAAGATTTTAATGTTATCTTTATAAGATTATAGAGATACATATAATAAAATTAGATGATTTTATCTTCAATTATTGATTATGAAAATTTATACTACTATTGCTTTATAGGAAACAAAAACTCTTAAAATTTGAATGATGGGAAGAAATATACGTTTAAAAAAGAAATTTTGAGAGCACATATGTCCAAATAATTGTGACGACCCAAAGGGTCATCACCGGATTTCTCTCTTTTTCCATGCTTCTGAGGCCTTGAAAACCTCATTTTTGCTTGCCTCGATTTGTGTGCGCAGTCCGGGCGCGTAGCCGGANTATGTTTAAAAAGAGAACTTTAGAGACCTTAAAATGATGGGAACAAATGTTAATTGTACAATTTAAGTTAATACGGATCAAATTAAAGTATATCATTTGTGTGAAATTTATGAGATTAAAGTAAATTAGCTTTTTAAATTTATTTATTTATTTATTTTTTTACAAATTGCATTAAATTAAACAACATACAAAACTTAATACTTAAGAAGCAGCAAACCATATTTATTCGAAAGTTAGATTTTTACTCACCAATTGGTTAATAAAAACAAAATGAATTAGGCAGACGATTGTAATAAGGAAAACTGAAACAATAAGTAGCATTTCAATATTTTAAGATTAATTATTACGAAACTATTGATTAGTTGAGCAGATTAATGTAATATTAATACCGATTTGACTTTTTTGACAATGATGGGCTAAATCATTTATATTAGGAAAATATTTTATTTGTGATAGATGAATTTTCAAATGCTATAGAAGATGAGAGACAATTACCAAAAAGAATTGATATTTAAATTATGGAAATAATTCCATAAGGTGGAAAAGAAAAACTCAGGGGAATGTACGAAGAAATTAACAGAAAAAAGCGAATTGAGGTTGGGCACAAAAAATACTAATGCAGCAAAAAAAAAAAAAAGAATTAACGCCTCTTGAATTTAATATTAATTTAGATGCATCCATTTTTATAATCTACAGGTTTATATTAAAACAAAACAAAGTTGATCAAAATTTATAAATTCAACTATCATGATGTTGGGCCCGTGCTGACACGGGCAATCCCAATCTAGTTCTACAATCTAATAAGGGGGAGTTAGCACACAGCTGGACGACATGTGTGCTTGGGATTTAAAGGATAATTTGGTCATTTCAGGCGTAATGGAA